TAGGAAAAGTGGCAATCTCGTTTTGTATAAATGAAAAATTTTAATACTATAATCCAGAAAATTCAGAGTAGACACGTTCGAAAGCAAAACAGACACACAATATATTGTCAGTCCGTGCAGTTGTGGTAAGCAGACTGTGACGACTAAACGCCCCCGGTGAATTCTAAATATAAACAGAAACAAAACTCGAGCCCTGTTTACAAAAACTGTGTACATAACACGAGTGTGCTCGATTTGCTAAACTCTGTACGCATCTCTTAGTTCGGAATGACGATACTTGTGAAGGTGTTTTGCTTTCTAACATTTCTACTCTGAATAAAATTATTTATACCCCCCGCAAACGAAGTTTAGGGGGAGTATATTGGAATTACCATGTCCGTCTGTCTGTCTGTAGACGAGTTTTTGTCCGGACCATTACTCAGTAACTATTGGAAGGTTTTGTCTGAAAATTTGTACAAATATAATTCACCATATGAGGTTGTGCACCTGATATTTTCATCTTGATTCGATTATTATTTTGAATTTTACAGGTGTTTTTTCATTTTTATTTTGTGGTTTTGTCCGGACCGTTTCTCAGGAACTATTGCAAGGATTAATCTGAAAATTTGTACACTTATTATTCACCATAAGAAGGTGTGCAATTGGAATTTTCAACTCTTTTTGTTAATTTTTTTGCATTTTACAGGTTTTATTTTTTATTTTAATTGACTTGTTCATTTTGGGCTCATAAGGTTTGAGACATAGAATCTAGAATATCTGTACAAAAATACTACAGCTTAAAACTACTCATACAAACTTAGAAAAAAAAAATCATCAAGTGTTAAAAACAGTTTTTACATTGCACGGAAAATAATGTAATTTCATTTGTCTCTTGAGAATAATGACTGGACATGCATCCAGTTAAAGATAAATTAATGAGTTTGGTGTGGGAAGTTGAACATAAAGGCATCTCATTATCAACCATGAGTTATCTCCTGGGAATCAGGCACAAGAATTTTAGATCCCTCTTCTCTTATTCTCTTAATTGTAATTTATTGTCTGTCAAAGCACTTCATTACTGGATGACCTGCTCTTTATTTTCAAATGACTTTGATATAAAGTTATCATTAGACAAGATTAATTTGATTTTGTATAATATGATTTTTCTTCAACAATCAGTTTGCAGAGTGACATAACACGTAATTGCAATATATATTTTTTCAATGCAGAAATAAAAAAAATGAAAAAAATAATGTTACAAAGGAATTACAATGTATTAGTATTGATGTTTCATTTGGTTGCACCTTTGTTTCATTCATTAAGAAACATGATGAGCAATTATATTTCACTGCAAATTTTTGTAAGTAAATTGTGAACACCTCTAGATCCATAAAGTATTTTTGAATTGGCACATTCTCTGAAAAACCCAGCGGGGGTATTCGTCCCTATTGGACAGTTCTAGTTTTTCTTGATAAAAGTTTTAATATTTCTCATTAAAACACATCAAAATTGCCATTTTTCCTAAGGATTAAGAATAAAGTTAAAACTTGTGAAAGTGCAAGGATGTGTCAATCAAACCCGCCAAAAAATTTAAAGTTTTTATAACTTTTAAACAAATAAGATTTTTAATTAATTTTTGTGAAATGCTATTGAAATATATAATTCGTGATATTATTTACAGAAAAAATGAGAAAATATTAACTTCAAATCTGTGTCCAAGTATCTTTAAGGTTTATGATCAAAATATGAAAAAAAAAATTCCTGAATATTTTCTATTAAATATATTGTTAGTTTGAAAAGCTTTTGGAAGAGAATGATTTACCAGATTTTATAAGAATTGTCTTTCTTTTTATCAGAATAAAGAAAGGAAAATTTGATGCCATGTTTGAGTTGGAATGGGAGAAGTGTAAGCAAGACTCGGGTGTAATAAATATTGACGACAGTGATGAGGAAGTTCACTCGTCAACTTCTAAAAACAAGCCTTCCACAGACGGGAAAGAATCCAGGGTCTATGAAAATCATGTAAAAAACAAAAATAGTGAAGATTCAAATGACAGCATAATTTGTATGCCTCATTGTAAAATTGATAAAACTTCATGGACTTTGTCAGAAAATGATGAACATGATAATTTAGATGACAAGATTTGTGTTACTGACAATGATGGCGATATGGAAGACCCGGACTGGCTCCCAGACATCCCCTGTAGTACACGGACAAGACAGAGAAACATGAAGACAACTAGATGTTCTGATGAAGAGTGGAGTGAAAGTAATGCAACCAGAACCAAGAACATTAATCTAAAAAGAAACATTAAGAGTGATCAGGATGAGGGAGTGTTTGGTAAAAAGACACTGATAACCAAGAAGGAAAGAACTACAGAGCTGGGAGTGAAGGATGGTCTATATACTGGAAGGGACAAGTCTTATGACTATGTAGAAATTGATCCTGATGATGACTGGACACCATTTAAAAGAGTTCCACTCGGAAATCATTCTGTAAGATCAGCTAGCCAGAAGACCACACAGGTTGTAGCAAGTGGCAATTCAGAAAGTGTAGAGACAAGAGGTGACTGGTGGGAAGACAGTGAAAAGGAACCTCTGGTAATGTATCATAATTCCTATGGCTTCCAACAACGTACTCCATCTAAAGACAAAGAAAAACCTATGTGTATCAATAAGATAGACAGACAATTGGAAACTGATAGAGAAATAGGTTATAAAAGAAGATCTAGTCCAAAACTGGACATAAATAAACAATGTGATACAGGGAATGATAGGGGAATCATGGGACACTATATGACCTCAGATTCTGATGAAGACAGAGTGACCCAGATACAGGATGTGTTCCCATTGCAGTCAAAGATGAGGGATTATGGTGATGACAAAGTGACCCAAATACAGGACATGTTCCCCTCACTCTCTAGAGAGGCAGTGTATGATGTCATGTCTAGAAATTCTGGTGATGTAACAAGCTGTGTAGAAGAACTTCTGCAAACACAAGAGATTGGCTAGTTATTTTCTTCATGCGTTTGATGTCTCAGTATTTTAAGTCTTAAGTCTACTACTGATTTTGTTTTTTCTTGGATGTTAAATCTTGGTACACTGTAATAGAGTGATCCACCTTACATCTGATTGAGCTCCCGTGGTTGTTTTGAGATTTTTATAGGGTAAACAATTTGCTAAGTTGACATACTGTTATGTTTTTCCATCAGTCTTTATGTGAGGTTTGTTGTTCTACTTTTGTTGTCAGTTAGTTGTAACCTTTTAAACATTTTTATCAACTATCAACTCTTTTTAGAACCACAGAACCAATTTCCATAAATTTCGGTACAAAACATCAATAGCTGAAGGGAAATGAAAATAGTGGACTTTCTTATCTCTGCCCTTCTTGGGCCTCAGGATTAGGCCAAATCATACAAATTCCTACAAATCTCAGTATTTTCTTCTCCTGGCTATCAATTACCCAGTAGTCATATTGTTGGCATGATCCTGATGAGCAGTGAATCCTCAGCCAAATTTGTGAAATGCATGGCTCTTGGGTCATTTTTGTTTTGAGAAAAGGGCTCTATTGATTATTAGTGGAAATGAATTATAATATAGAAAATCTTTTTTTTTTCATATAAATGCATTAAAGTTTGTACATTTATTTAGATCGGTTAACTCATGTTGCATGTGTAGATGTACCGTATGAATGTGTTATAAGTCGGTATTTTGGGAGTTAAATTTTGGTCTTAAACTCTATGTCCGACTTATAGGCGAGTCATAAAGAGATTGGTATTTTTCTGGACTCTGAAATGTAGTACTGTATATGCATTTCCGACTATTATCGAAGTAAATGTCTGGATATACCGGTACATGATAATTTATGTATTCTTGGATTTTACATAAAAACAATTATTTAAATATTTTGATAATTTTATTTGTATCTTAGGTGAGCATTACCCTTTTGTTTAATGGTTTAAGATCAAGTATTGATGTCATTTAAAAACATATTAATTCAAACCAGTTAAAATATCAATGGATTTACTTGAAATTGTCACCCAATTGTGATTGATCCGACTTATAAGCGGGTCAATGCCAAATCTTAACAAAATAACGTCAAAAAATACAACCGACTTATAGGCGGACCGACTATAGGCGAGTATATACGGTAACTGTAAGTCATGAATGTGTCATGTACATATAGGTCCAGAAAAATTAGGAATATAGTTTGTGTATCTCTTTTGTACATAGTGTTTTGAAACTTTTCGTTGTATACTTGAACAAGCCATTAACCTATTCAAGCCCTTTGTACAGTAAAACGCAATTATAACCAATTACCATGGACTGAACAATGTTGCTTTGAGCGTACTTCCTTATATCTGTTAAATCACTTCGCTGTAAATGTCTTTTTATTATAGGTGTGTTGGATATAATTGTGTTTTACTGTATATAATTGAACAGCAAGGAGGCTAACGAAAGCACTGAAAGTTCCCGTTTGTATTGTCGTTGGTTTTATAGAAGTTTTTTTTCAGTTTTTGTTTATTTGAATTAAGGCATTATAACCTAGGCAGTAAAGAACACTGGGTATACAAGACTAATCATTTACATTGAAGTTTTTATGTAAAATTGTTTTATTATCTTTGATCTAGTCTATAGCTAGTAAGAAAATTTTATTATCAATAAAAGTGGGAACAATGATTTGTTAAGAGAAATAAGTCAGAAAATGTGCTTTAACAATGCAGAGTTAAACATCTTTCTAATGGCATAGAATCTTTTTTTTGATGTTAAGTTTTTGTTTCAAGTTTTAATGATATTTTGATGACTGTCAGCACTTATAAATTTGACATTTATTGCTTGTAATAAAATTGTCAAATTATTAAATGCTAAATTGTGTTGCAACACACATACTGAAATGAAATTTGATTCATTATATATCCATTTATAACTAGGTCAAGAGGTGTTTTTGTCCACAGTGGTTACTTGATTTTTGAAAAGTATATGATAAAACAAATATTCATTTGCTAATTTTTTTACAGTTTCAACATGATTTTATATTGTCAACTGAAAATAATAATGACATTTCATGTATTATGCATATATAGTGTTCAATAACTAGTTTGTATAATGGGGTCTATCTAGAGTGAATATGAATGTCCCATTTTTGAACAATTCATGTCCCCAATCCTCCTGGAAATAAAAGGTTCCTTATTGGGTTACCAGTATTCACACAAACACACACTCTTCTCTCTCTCTCACAACAGTTTACAATATGACAATGTCATAATTTGTCATAAAACTAATGTGTCTAGAAAAACATTTTCTAATATTATTTTTTCTTGTGTTAATAAGATGTTGATTGTAGCAGATGACAAGGTGTTTCGGGTGTTAAAAACTAGAATATATAGCTATTTTTGCTAATATACTGTGCTTTGGATTTCATATATTTTAAGACTTCTAAAATAAATTTGGTATTTCATTGGGTATATCTTTTCTCATATGGAGACTAGAAAGTAGAAAATGCATGAATTGGTTGGAACACTAGTCACAAGTATGCCCCTTTGGTCTTAGAAAAAATTCCAACATTGAATTACGGGAAAATCTGTTGTGTACTGTGAAGTATGACTTCTGTTGAATAAATTCCTACATTTTGTTTATTGGTATGTAAAAAATCAGATCCATTTACTACAACTTTGAAAATTTACAACGATTTTTACTATGAGGTCATGGGATTGTCAAAATTGACGTAAAGCGACGTGACAACCAGATTTCAACCCGTTAAGCTTTGTTCAGTTATAAATCTTTCATTTCTTCAGATATTTCTTATCTTTTTTTCTACTTTAAAATTAAATATCTATATCAAGACATGTTACTTTTCTTCTATAATGTCTTTTGTACTGATTCGGATATTATTGAGATCTTTAAAAAAGTCTATGCAGTTAATCGATCAGGTATGGAAACTATGCAAAACCATATAGGCGCAACACAACGTCCATTTGCGATACGGAGGTATTGAAGTATCGGTGGAATTAATCATTCAAAATGTTAATCCTTCCATTCTTTTGAAGCTACAAATTTGAAAATTTGTCCATTGTAGGTGTAGGAAATTTCACAGCAAACATTTTACACTCTTTTTCTCATTTCCAGTCTGCATACACAATTTCTACGTAGTGCAGTGCTCCATGACGCTCAATGACGTTCCGATTTTTGGCTGTCTTTTTAAGCGTTGATCATTTATAAACGGCTATAAAACAGTCATATACCCTCCAATTTAATTCAAATTTTCTCCCAATGACGTTTCATGAACACTTTAGCGACAGGTAAAATATAATAAATCTCTTTGCGCTACAATTATGCAATTTTAGAATTTTAATAAAGAGTCTATATTGATTAAAGAACTAGAATAGATAGCTATATTTTGCTAATATACTGTGCTTTGAATTTCATGTGTTTCACGACTTCAGAGTTCTAAACACTAAGTTGTGGTTACCGTATTTCATTGGGTATTTTCTTTTCTCGTATGGAGACTAGAAAGTAGAAAATGCATGAATTGGTTGGAACACTAGTCAAAAGTATATGTTGATGTTTTTTCTCATGACATTTCCCCTTGATAATAAAAATCTTGAGTTTTATTTATTACAAAAACTGCCACAAGTATTGACAATTTCTGAAGAAAGATCATTTTTCAATAAAATACACCACCTTCTGTTTACTACATTTTCAGCCAGATTAGTTCTTAAATTGTTCTTTCTTTTCTCTCAAAGGTTTTCAAGATGTCCTCGAACCTATGTCCTTTGTGATCCTCGGATGCCACACAAAATACACACACTGGATTGTCACACTCTTTACAGTACAACTCACATCTCTTGGGCTCATGTGATGAGCAAGCTGGATAGTGTGGAATGGATTTACTGAATTTGACAAAATCATGGGTCCTCCTTATACCACTAATGTGTTTGGGGACACATGCTCCGCATAGATTAATCAAACAGACCTCACAGTGTACTTGTACTCCTGCAGTTGTACATGCATCACATCGCATGTCTTCTTGATCGTTATTGCACTCGGCCATTATACTGATGGGTACTTATGCTGGAAAAAGAGAGAAACCATTTTGAATTGTTTGATAATTTAAAGCTGGTTGCAATAAAGGCAGTGCAAGACTACGAAGACGGCTTTCTAGCTGCAAATTATAAAACTCTAAATTTATATCATTCCAGATGTCTTTTTAGCTTTATTGCCGTTTATCTTCATACGCGGATGTACTGGGAGTGGGATAGGGTGGGTTAGCTCCCCGTCCCTCCCTAGAATTTGCAGATTTAATAAATGTATATATTAAACCAAGGAAAAGTGACATTGGACCCCCCCCCCCTCCCCCTTCCTCCTAAGAAAACTTTGATCAGTTGGAATGAGAAGTCATAGATATGAAGCTTTGTAAGCCCGACCGTATTTCATATACAGTAGTGACTTCTTTGACTTTGAGGAACTGGTATATGTCTTTTTAAAAAGATCTTGAATGAATTTCTATTTGCGTTTGTAAAGTGTATTGATGTTGCTAGGAAGGGGTAAAAACCTCACATTTATTTGTGTTTCATCGACAAGAAAATCAATACGGAAATCATCTTTTGTTTACCTCTCTCTAATATACGCATTATATATATGTATCTACATTGTATATAATACAGTTTAACACACATTCAATCACATCACTGATACGATAAATTATAAAATCTCAGTGCCACATACTACATATAGTATACGGTATGACTAAGCTTTGAACTGTCCCTAAGTTGCAATAGAAAATTTAAAATTATTCTCTTATTACAGTGTCTTGTTACACTCTGATCTGATTATCCTTTTGTAATAAATTGACAAAATCTAGTGCCATACAGTGTTAGTAATCACATGCTAGTTTTTGCAAGGAGATAATATAACATTAATCGAAGACTATCCATATCTTTAAGTAACGGTGTTAAATTGAATCTTACCGTGGTAATTGTATAAATGGCCGCCTTTATAAGTTATTCTTGACAACAAGGACGCGGTTAAATACCAGCGTGGAATACTCAGAGAATGCACCATGAATTTAAATGTTCGATATGTAAACATGATTTCATACCTGATCAATATTTGGGAAAAAAAACTACCTAGTGGTATAGGTAGTCCTTGAAAAGAGATCGCTTATATACTTCGTCAGTATATGATATTGAACTACATTGTACTTGGTAGTAAGTTGTCTCAGAAAAAAATAGAACATTTGCAATTAGTCAATATTTTATTTTTTAACTACTTGGTAGTGTTACCTTCGCAAAAAGAATGAATTCGGTTTGGTATTGTGGTATAATTGTGTTCTAAGGGAGTTAACGATTTTGCTAACTTCAGTGGTAAATGTCAAAGTTTAAAGATACATGTACATTGTAAAATCCTTGCTTTTTTGATCTGGAAAACTTTTAGATATCCAAAGATATTGTTGATTTATAAAAAGGAAAGTGATTTTATTTTGGAATTAAAAATTAATTAAAAGAGGAATTTGATGAAAAAATTTATTTGATATACAAGTTCCTTAAGGTTTTTCTTTCTTACCCCCTCCCCTTGATTCTATACACTCAAAGTCAGGAACACTTGGTCAGTGTCGGTGCTTTTTTATGAACAGGGACGTGACAAATGAGAATCACAGCTCAAATTAATTTAAGAAAAATGGAATTGATCCTTTTGCTTTTATGTTACGTAGAAGCAGAGATACTTTATTTTCTAATAATATACATGTAAATAGGAAAATATTTCAACGAATAAAAGTGTTACTTTTACCTAAATGAAAGGGATAAAAATAAGTCGAACACATTCTGATCATAAATTTTAACACAAGCAACATCGTTGTCATGCCAGTACTTTAAATATTTATATGCTAGATATATACGAATTAGAGCAAAATTCTCTTTGACTTTTCATCCAACTTCAAATTTAAGTATTCTTATTTGTACGAGGGTTGTTCGAAAAGTTCGTGGACAACTGTCATATCTTTTTTATTTGACGTCATATGCTATTTACATTCGGTAGAAATATTTAACAATAAATTCAAATGATTCGTATTATTTTTTTTCAAAATATTACGATTTATTTAAAACTTATCCGGATTTTAAAAATGCAAAAATCGGGTAGCGGAGCAGGTCAAAATTTAGTCGGTTACAGACCATACACTAAATAATGTCTGTAGTCATATTCTCCATAAAATGGAGCTAAAACGAAAAACAACCTAAATATTCAAATTAAGAATTGTTACATGTAATCGATTCGTATACCAAATTATGGTTTTATATTTTGCTTCGTTGAAATGAAATTAACTTGAGAAGATAGGTAGTCCTTTTTGCAAAGGGCAAAACAATGACGTTTTAGAACGTCACGGAAAATTAGATAACGATGAAATTTTGTGTTTTCTCAGAAAAAATCCTGAATAAACTCTAAAAAGATTGAAGAAAATATGTCTCAAGCGAGTTGTGCATATGTGTACAAATAGTACAGGCAGTTTTTGAGTGACAGAGACTCTGTATCAGATGAGAATGATCTGTGAAGAAATGGTTTTACCAAAAAAATCTTAACAAAACTTTTAAAAGTTGAAACGTAAAGGAAAGACATAGGCGCTTCAGAGTTTCTTATCCTGTGAAAGTAGAGTTTAGTAAAAAAAAAAAAGGAAATTAAAACCT